GATACCAAGTAACTAGCACCCTGGGGTTAGTAACTTTGTCACAGTGATATAACAAGTAGCTAGCGGTCTGGGGTTAGTAACCTTGTCACGATGACATACCAAGTAACTTTAATAGGATTTCACTTTGGAGCTCAGGTTGGTCCTGAACCCAGGCTCCTTCAGCTTTGGTCGGAAGAATGGACTTTGAAGGAAGAGATAAGAATTCAGTTTAGGCAGGAATTTCACAGAGCAGGAGCAGGATGAAAGAGGATGAAGTCATTTCTCAGGTCTCACTGTTCTAGGTTCTAGCCCTGCGTCTGCCACTGTGTGCTGTGAGCCTGGACAAGTTAACCCCTGACTCTTGTGCACTGGAAAGAGGAGGCTCATTTGTGAAGCTACTTTCATGCTTGAGAAGAGGAAGAGGCAAGGGTGTGATCTGGATAAGCACCAGCGCTCTTAACCATTGAGCCATCTCTCCAACCCGAGAATGAAATAAGGAAGTCAGCAGACAACACTGGCTGAAGCTGAGGCAGGATCCTACCCTCTTCTCAGGGTCCAGCTCAAGAGAAGAGACCATGGAACTTCAGGACTTAGACCCCTGGGATCCTCAGTTCCCACTCATAATTTCCACTGAGCTCTGGGTATCAGTTTGGCCAGACACACTGTTAACCTCATGGGTTCCAGTTTCCTCTGTGTCAACTTCAGTGCTACTTCAGCACTGCAGAACCCAGAAGGATCATTGGTAGCCTGTGACTCTTAGAACTCCACTATGGATCCTCTGACTCTCCATTTAAGTCTCTTATCTCAGGTACCCATAGGACTAGAGGCCCACTTGTGAAGAAACATCATCTATGTGTACTTGAAGTTCCATCCACAGCCTCGCTTACCTCTGCTTCTGAATCCAGAGTCCTCAGACTCCCATTCATCAGATTTCTTTTTTGAGCTCTGAAAGTGTCTCCAGGCTTCTTGGCTCATGCACAATTGTTCCCTGGCATTCATCCATTCAATGAATTGCATGCTGGTTTCAGCTGTGGTTGTGGAGGAAGGAACAGTGGTTGTGTGTTAACAGAGAGGCAGAGGGGCAGAGGCAGAAGGGCAGAGGCAGAAGCCAGACAAGTAAGGCTGGGTTCCTTCCTGCTTACCTTCACATGCTTCTCTATAGTTGCATGAGGAGAAAGACACTGTCCCAAGTGTTGCTGGGAAATGGCCCTGCTCCGGGACCATGCAGTTCACCTGTCCTGGTTTTACACTAGTCCTCTGTGTGAGTCTCTATTCCTCTCTGAGCCTCAGCTTCCTCATGTGGGGCTCTGAGTTTCTGTCCCACAGGGTTGTAAACTATGTATGTATGTATAAATATATGTATGTATGTATATATATGTATATATGTATATATGTATATATGTGTATATACTGAACATTTATTGAATATTATATTGTTTAATATTCATTGTGGTTGTCACTTTACTCCCACAGCCCAAGGAGACAGCTGTTTACCTTCCCATTTCCCAGATGAAGACATTCAAGAGACTGCAGTCAGCCTCTGCCCAGTTCCAAGGCTTGGGTTTCTAGCTTCAGTGTCACCAGGTGCTCCTTTAGGAAGACAGCTTGAACCCTGTGCTGACCCCTCTCATAATCCTTCTAAAAACCATCCTCTCCCCAATAGAGCTTCTGAGTGCTTCTCCCCAGGGGCTCTGAGTACCACACGAGCCCGAGAATGCACCAGTGTAGGAGAGTGTGTGTGGGTTAGCATTCTTTCACTACCTTTGTCAAGCTTTCCTGTTCCAACCTCTCCTGGGGCCTGTGAACTCTTTTGACAGGAGGTTAGCTTGCCCATAGAAACCTGTCGGGAGGGCTCAGTGGTGATGAAGGGATCACAGCAGTGGTGGGTTGTAGTTCTTGGTGTACTTACTTAGCATCAAGTCCTTCTCGGCCTGGACTTTGATCCCTTGCATCTCCAGTCTCATCTGTCTCCTTGTGTGTCGGATATGTTCCAAGAACCGTAGACGCCTATACTGAGCCTCCTTTGAGCTACTTGCCTTCTTGGACTGAGCTGTTCCCATGGTGACAGAGCCCTCAGACGATGCCTGGATGTGCAGCTAAATCCCATACAACTTCACATCTTCCTTCTAGTATAACTCCAAGCAGGAGGCCAGTGAATTCTTGTCTCTGCCACCCATTTCTGCTCTAGGAAAGGGTGTTTGATCAGAACTGATGGGGGAATCCTGGAAATAAAGAAAATGCAGAGCAGCCTCTACAGGGACAGATTGTCCTCTGATCAGAACAACGAAAGGGCTCAGGTCTTTCCTGGGGATGGAGCCTGTGTGTCCAGGTGCAGGGGCTTGGTCTTTATAGGGCAGAAAAGGGAACTCTGGGAAGTGAAGTTTATCAGTGGATGTGTTCTCTGTAGTTTCATGAACAAAGCCAGAGGAAGTTCTCTTTACTGCTTTGGCCTTCCTGTCAGGCAAGTGTGCTGTTATGCTGAGCCAGCGGTTTCTCAGTTTGTCTAAGTTTCCTTTTTTTAGGTCATTAAGGTCATTTGTCTGACCCTGAGGACTCTTTCATTGGCTGCTTCCTGTGGGAGGGGGATGATGGAGATCATAGCAGGCTCTGTCCTTGGATTTAAGAGGGTTTAAGTTGTGGGGTGGCTTCATGTAGCAGGAAAACAATTGTAAATTGATCTGCTGCAGTGGATCCTGTGATTGCTGTCATTCACTCCTGGAGAAACCTGTAAAAACAGTTAATAGATGGGACTACAGTGAGTCAGAGGCGACCGAAGACAGGGGACCCAGTAAGCTCCTAGCCAGTGTACCCATTGTCCTAACATGGACCTAGTGATGGCAGTGATTTGACCCAGGAGGAATTTGTGTGAAACTTTTAAAGGACAGGGAAAATGGAAGGACGAGGATGAGGAGGAATGGAGAAATCAGGGGGAGGAACTGGATTGGGAGAGAACAAAAGCCCATCTTCAGGAAGATGACTGTCACTGAATCTTTATTTGGTCCTTAATTAAGTCTTGGGGCCCTGTTGACCAGCTTGGGTTTGTTGGTGCAGAAGTAGCGCTGTCCCTGGAGGAGGGCACAGTTCCCACCAGCAGCAGCAGACAGGACATCTAGGTCTCTAACTTTGGAGAACCACAGCAGCAAAGACTTGGCTCAGGCCTAACTATGGAAAGTGATGGAGAAGGGGGAGTGGGAAGACATCTAGGTCTCTAACTTTGGAGAACCACAGCAGCAAAGACTTGGCTCAGGCCTAACTATGGAAAGTGATGGAGAAGGGGGAGTGGGAAGGTGGCATCTGGAGAATGGAGGGTGGGGAAATGTAGGGATGGGAAAACAAGGGGATGGAAGGATGCAGGACATGGAGCATGACAGCTGGAGGATTAGAGGATGGAAATCAAGGAAGAAGCGCTAGGATTGGAGGAAAGGGTGTTGAGATTACAGGGGCAGGAGCTGAGAGGATAGGGAGACAGGGATGGAGGGAGGGTGCAGGGATGGAATATGCAGGACACTCACTACTCTGCATTTCTCAGATTCTTCCTTTTCTAGTGTCCCATGCTAAGGAGATCAACCTTTCAGACCTTACTATAACAGAGGATGAGATGGCAGAGATTCTGCGCAGAGGGGGATTCAAGATCTCAGTCTGAGTTCAGGGTAGGCCTCGTGAAGGAATCTTTAGAAGCCTCCTGTCCCTGGGAAAAACAAGAGGGAACAATCCAGAGGCAACTAAGCAGGAAGGATAAATTATCCAGAGAAAACCAAGAGCCACATGGGCAAGTGTGTGGGGTTAGAGTGACCCAAGACTTTCCTAGAAGCCCTGATAAAAGGACAAAGGGAAGTTTAATTCTGTGTCCTTGTCCAGGAATGGATATAGCAAGAATGGACATAGCAAGACCAGTCTGACACTGGAGCCAGTGCCTTGGAGGAATTGAAGTTGTAGTTTCTTGGAGCCAGACTCTTTCCCCTAGGCTGTGGTTATCAGCCCTAAGGCAGCTGTGTCTGAGGGATCCTGTGTCCTCTTTGCATATTGTCCGACTTAGCTCTCTTCTGACCTTGACTGACCCACCCATGCCTCAAATAATATAAATGGTTCTGTACTAACTAGTAAGTTAGCTTGGCCTCATTTCTCACCTTAGGCAAGACCTGCTGGGCCCAGCGACTGCTTTTGTCTTCTTTATTTCTCATTCTCAGTCCTCCCACTATAACACCTCCCCACTCAGGACCCTTGCTCCTGCAGGTTCACGACAGTCAGGAGAGAGGAGGGTGCAGGATAGGCTATGACAGGAGCAGGCACATGAAACATCCAGCGAAATCCAGTGACCTCCGACCCACCAGAGCTGGCCTGCAGACTCTTCCAAGCAGTGGCTCAAGCCTCTGTCCTTCCTGTGAGGAAGAAGTGCCCACATCTGCCACAGTATGCCTTAGTGCCGTCAGGCCAGCACTGATCTTCCCACAACTCAAATGGGTTTGTGGACTCTGTGGGTCCCACTACTCACCCTGCTCCTCCACTGGGGACCACTGATGTGTGAATCTCTGGCCAAATTATCTTCTTCAAAAGTGAGAGAGACTCTGGAAGCCAGGAAGTCCTCCAGGAAGCCCGGCATCAGAGCCTGTGCCGATGTTCTTCCTCTGAACCCCGTGAGTAGAGGTTGAACTTTGTTCAGCTCATTTCCTGTTGTGAAGTCTCTGCAGAGTCAGGTTTGAGAGCTTCTTCCAGGCCTGCAGTGGCCCCTCCTCCTAAGTGCAGGCCTCATGTCTGAGCCTCACTTCATCTACTAAAGCGCACCCCCCCCAGGTTTGCCAACAGGTCCCAGTTCAGCAAAAACGCCTGATCTCCCAGATTTGTGCTCTGGATCTCTGCACTCCCTCTCTTCACTGGAGCCTGTCCAGATCACAAGCTCTTCATTTCAGGAAGTGGCTGTCAGGCCCCACACCCTGGGGCTTTTCTCACTCCTGGACTCTTCTAAATCTCAAATCTGGTATTTGGCTCCTACTAACATTCATGTTTTTCCTTTAGGTTTATGGTGTGTGTACATACATGTTCATGTGCATGTGAAGTCACATGTGTGTGCATGTGTATGATTTGAGAATGTATGAATATGGTTAGTCTAGCTACTTAGACAGCTGGGGGGACTTCCTGTTTCCTCCTCCTGAGCTCTGGGATCACAAGCCTGTAGCCACGCCCAGCAGGCATCTGTGAGGATGCTGTGGATCAGAGCTAAGGTCCTCACTGCTTTACCCACTGAGCCATTGCTGCAGCCCTGACACTGGCTTGTAAACAGACCTGTAATCTGGCCCTTCTCACTGTGCCCAAAGAGACTGCTGGTCCAGCCAGCATCCTGGCTCTCTGCTCCAGCTTCCCACTTCTTCCTGCTGACACTTCATGGTCTCTTCTCAGTCTTGAATCTAGAGTCACATATCTAATATGTAAATTAGTTTGTTACCTCTTAATCAAACTTTCTTATCATTCTATGAAATACTGGTTTCTTCAGTGACCCATGAGGCTCTACATGACCTACTCCATCCTACCCTACCCTTTTCTGACAGTAGATACCACTTCATACTCCTCACTCACTCTGCTGTGAAGTGGGAGTCCCCTCTTTGTGCTGTGATTCCCATTAATGAATAAAGAAACTGCCTTGGCCTGTTGATAGGGCAGAAGTTAGGTAGGTGGGGAAGATAGAACTGAATTCTGGGAGGAAGAAAGCAGAATCAGAGAGACGCCATGCTTCTGCTGGAGACAGATGCTGGGAATTTTACCCGGCAAGCCACTGCCATGTGGCAATATATAGATGAATATAAATAGATTAAATTAGAATAAGAGTTAGCCAATAAGAAGCTAGAGCTAATGGGTCAAGCAGTATTTTAAGTAATGCAATTTCTATGTAGTTATTTTGGGGCTAAGTTAGCTGGACAAACAAGTGGCCTGGTTCTCCTTGCAACACTGCTGTGTGTTTTATCTGCTCTACCTTCATAGTCTTTGATCACACCAGGAACTTGTTCTCCTTTGCACTGGCTTCATCACTCCTTCGGAATGACTTCTATTAAGTAGAAGACTGCTACCCTCTTTCAGAAACAGCACTGCCCTTCCAGAATTTACCCTCCTTTATTTTTCTGCTTAACACTTGTCATCATCCAACACCACAAACTTGATTTGTTTCTGTCACTTCTACCTACAAAGAGAATGGAAACTCTTGGAAGACAGGGCAAAGTATGCTTGTTGATTGTTATATCCCATTGGCGCAAGTCAGTGACTGACCCACAATAACAGCATGAAGGTGCTCACAATCTCTGAGCGGTGGTTATTTCTTTAATATTAACGTTTATTTATTTGTGTTTGTGTGTGGTGTGTGCATTTGTGTGGTGTATGTGTATGCATGTATATGTGTGGTGTGTGATTGTATTGTATGTGTATCTGTGTGTGACGTGTGTTGTCTGAATGTTATGAGTTTGATGTGCACTCGTGGTGTGTGTGTGTGTGTGTGTGTGTGTATGTTTGGTGTGTGTGTGGTATGTATGCACATGCCATGGAGTCCATGTGCAAGATATAGGCCAGCTCTTAGGATTCAGGTCCCTCTTTCTACCATGTGTAACTGTGTAGTCAAATTCAGGATATCAGGCTTCAAGGCAGGTGCCTATTTAAACAAAATAATGGTTCTTAAGATTAAGTTCTTAGACCACATTCTCAGCACAAAGGAGATTTATTTGCCACAGATGGACAGAGGCCAGGGACAGGCAGCAAAGTCAGGAGCTAGAGGAAGAGGGAGAAGAAGGAAACAAAGGAAAGGGGAAGGAATATTTGTCCTGGAAGACAAAGAATAGCCTCTGGATGGAAGGGTGGCAACATAGGAAAATGGCCGTTTATAAAGGTCCAAGGGGAAATCCTGCGTTAGGATGAGGTGTTTAATTTTAATTGGACATGTTAATTAGGTGAGTCAAAGGGGGCTTTTGATGGTTGGGTTTTAATATTTTCCTAGCTGGCTCTTGGTGGTCAGCCTCAAGAGGAGGGATTGGCACAATAAGGAAATGGGCGTTGGTCAGTAGCTGCAGGAATATAAAGTAACGGTTTTTACCGAGGCGGAGAGAACTGGGGAGAAGGGCAAGGCCTGCCAGGCCAACTAGCTGGAGTGGGTTAATGTTCCTTCACCGGTTGTATGCATCTCTTCTGAGAAAACATGGCTGATACAGGAGGGCCATGCCCATTGTGAGTGGTGCCATCCCAGAGCAGGTGGTCCTGGGCCATTTCAGAAAGCAGGTTGAGCAAGCCCAGAGAGCAAGCCAGTAAGCAGCCTCCTCCATTGCCTCTGCTGCAGTCTTCTGGCCCTTGGTTCCTGCCCTGTCTCCTGCCCTGTCACTGTAGAGTGAAATCAACCTTTTTCTCCCCAGGCTGCTTGTGGTCAGTCATGGTGTTTTTTATCACGGTAGCGAAAACCAAACAATGACACATCCTCTGTCTTAACAAGTTTCCCTCCAAGATGGAGATTTCTGTTCAGATAAAGTTGCTATAAACCAGTGCCTTCCCCTGCTGAGCCTTCTAGCTGGAGTCCAGAGAGATTTGTTTTGCTCTTTCTTATTTTTAATTTGTTTTTTTTTTAAACGTGTGTGATGCTGTGGTGGTTTGAGTAAGAATGGCCTCCACAGGGCCATATATTTGAATGATTGGTTTCCTTTTGGTGGGACTGTATGGGAAGGATTTGAAGGGCTTGTTGGAGGAGGTGTGTCAAGGATGTGGCCTGTAAGGCTTCAAAACCTCACATATTCCCGGTTAGCTCTCTGTGGGTGTTCTGTTTTTCATGGGTCATTTGAAGAAAAAGACTCGCTTCAAAATGTCATTTAGGCTCAGCAAAAGAAGTAGGGGGCGTCAGTCTTGATGGGCTGACCAATCTTGGCTTTGCAAAAGTCTCCTTTATTGCCTAGGCCGGGCATAGGGAGCGGCAGAGAGTGCTCGCTGGCACATGGAGCCTCCTCCCCTTTGGGCCTGAGCGGGTGCACAGAAGAGGCCACGCTCTCCCCGCCAGAGCCGCAGCATGGTTGACTATATGGTGGAGTATGACTTTGACGCTATACATGATGATGAATTAAGTATTCAAGTTTGGGAAACCATCAGAAATGTGAGAAAACTACAGGAAGAAGGACGGCTGGAAGGAGAACTAATGGGAGAAGAGGGAGGTTCCCTGATAATTTTGTTAAGGAAATTAAGCGAGAGACAGAACCCAAGGATAACAATTTGCCCATCAAACGGGAAGGGCATGGAAATGTAGTGAGTCTTGTACAGCGAATCAGCACTTACGGACTTCCAGCTGGAGGAATTCAGCCACATCCACAAATCAAAACCCCTAAGAAGACAAAAAAGCGTCAGTGTAAAGTTTTTTGACTACCTTCCACAAAATGAGGACGAACTGGTGCTGAGAGTGGGGGATATTATTGATACTAATGAAGAGGTGGAGGAAGGCTGGTGGAGCGGAACCCTGAACAGTAAGTTGGGGCTTTCCCCCTCAAACTTTGTGAAAGAGTTAGCGCTCACAGATGATGGGTGAAACTCACGAAGGTCAGGATGAATCAGAAATAGCTTTGACTGGCCCTACATCACCATTACTGCCTCTGGGAAACGGGAGTGATTCTGGATCAATTACACAGTCAAAGAAAGTTTTCCAAGGAGTTGGATTTGGAGATATGTTTAAAGAAGGCTCTGTGAAACTTAGGACAAGAGCATCCAGTAGTGAAACAGAAGAGAAAAAACCAGAAAAGCCCTTAATTCTGTAGTCACTGGGATCCAGAACCCAGAACGTGGAGGTGACAAACCAGACACTGATGGCGAGAGTAAAGCTAAGGAATATTATAGAGCGTTATTTGCTTATGAAGGAACCAATGAAGATGAACTTACTTTTACAGAAGGGGAGATAATCCATTTGATAAGTAAGGACCCTGGAGAAACAGGCTGGCGGAAGGGTGAAACAATGGCAAAAAAGGAGTGCTTCCAGACAACTCGGCTGTTCTGATAAGTGAACTAGATAAAGACTTACCAAAACCAAAGGAACCAACTCCTCCTGCAAAGGGTCCAGCTCCAAAGCCTGACCTGTTAGCTGCAGAGAAGAAAGCTTTTCCTCTAAAGTCTGAAGAAAAAGAAGAAAAATCACCAGAATAGAAAACCTTCTAAGTCAGTTGTTCCTCAAGTCCCACCCCAAAAGCCCACTCCACCTACCAAAGCCAATAATTTATTGAAATCTCATGGAACCCAAAAGCGGCCAGACAAACCAGTTCCTCTTTCACCTCCAGCATCCAAAATTAATGGAGAACTTTCTACAATTTCTTCAAAGATTGAAACTGAGTCAGTATCAAAACCAAAGTTAGATCCTGAACAACAACCAGTCAGGCCAAAATCAGTAGACTTTGATGCCTTTTTAGTCAGATACTCCAAAGAACAGATACTGTACATTTTGATGACATAGCTTCCTCAGAGAACTTGTTACATCTCAGTACAAATAGACCCAAGATGCCTGGAAGAAGGTTGCCTGGCCGCTTCAATGGTGGACAATTCCCCAACTCAAAGACCAGAAAAAAATGTTGTAGTTACCAAAAGAAGAAGATAGTGACAACCTAAAGCTGGTGGAGCTTAAAAGGGACACACTACTCTTCAAAGCCATCTCTTCCGGCACCTTCAAGTGCTTCGAAAGTAAACACAACTGCTTCCCCAACTCCCTTAGAACTCAAAGCTAAAGCAGAGACAGAGGATGGGAAAAAAGTCCTCTGGATGAACTTAGAGCCCAGATTGTTGAATTACTGTCTATTGTAAATGCACTGAAAAAGGATCATGGGAAAGAACTGGAAAAGCTACAGAAAGAATTGGAAGAAGAGAAATCCATGCGGAGTGACCTTGAGGTGGAAATTGCAAAGCTGAAGTTGTTCTGTCTTCTTGAGGTGGTGTGAACCCAGTGTTCTTAATGCTCCAGTGATTTAGGAGCAACACTAGAACTTAACTGACTTGTTAAGACAGCAGATGTGGTGTTGTGATGAAGAAATGAGAGGACATGAACTGTGATATCTACCGAAAAGTTAGGGAGTGTGACAATTATATATATATTGTTTTGTCAATATGAGAAATGAGGCCTTATTTCCTACTGTGCTGGGCTAGCAAACATTTATGTTGTTTGCTTGAAAATACTACTGAATCTGTACAAAAAGGAATGAAAGTTCACAATAGTTTTTTTTTATTGAAACTTGTATTATTTTTAAAGAGTTCTATACTATAAATATTGTACTATCTTTACAAATAAGCTGTAAGATAAACTATTTGTGATGGACGGGTTAGCTTTATGGTAACTAGAACCACTGCTTTCCTGTAACAAATAAGGACATACACTTGCATAATGCACTACATACACCACACACACACACACACACACACACACACACACACACACACTTTTAGCTTCGTACCCAGGATTACACTGTTGCGCCTGTGTCTGCAGTGCTGTTTGTACATTGGGTGGTAAAATAGGAGTTCCTAATTACCAGGTTCCTCACCCATGCATAATGAATTGTTAATGAAATAAGAAAAGCAAATTAAACTTCTAGGGTGTTCTATAATGCTCACACTATAGGATTCATTAAAGGAAGTTAGTTAAATTTACTGGATTAATCTTTGGGAAAATATGAGCTTTG